TGTGCCCACAACCAAGGTACATGCCCTTGACCAGAATCAAACCTGGGACCCTTGAGTCCGCAGGCCGACGCTCTATCCACTGAGCCAAACTGGTTAGGGCAATTAATTCCCTTTTAATGTGCACGAATTTCATATACCGGGCTACTAGTGTATATACAATGTCTGTAGATTCTATTACATTCTCAGAGAGAGAGAGAGAGAGAGAGAGAGAGAGAGAGAGAGATTGGATAGAATGTTCATAAAAATAGAAAGAGTAGTTACTCATCGTATATGTGCCTTCTATTAATTTTTGCTTTACTCTATTCATTCTATACTAGAGGCCTGATGCACAAAATTTTTGCAAGAGTAGGCCTTTAGTCCCCCGGCTGCCGACACCAGTTTCTCTCAGGCCGCCGGCAGGCACCAGGTACCCAGTCTTTCCTTACAGCCTTGGCTTCCTCTGGAAGGTTATCCAGAAGGATGTCCAGAAGAACATTTCGTCTAATTAACCTATTGTGCTTTTATTATTATAGATTATTATAGACTAGAGGCCTGGTGCATAAAAATTCATGCACTGGAGGGAGGGTCCCTCAGCCTGGCCTGCCCCCTCTCACAGTCCAGGAGCCCTCAGGGGTGGGAGGCAACCTGGAAATCAGGGGAAGGCGACACCCCCATCATACCTCTGCTGCTGCCACTGCCAACAGCACAAGCCTTGGCCAGCCCTGGTTACCTGAGTCTTGGGCTGGCCCTGGGAGGCTGGGCAGATGCCATCCAAGGCTTGCCTACACTTCAGCCAGCCCTGCTTGCATGAGCCTCAGTCAGTGGGGGGTACAGGAGGAGCCAAAGCCCCTGGAGCGGCAGAGGGGACTGGGCACCACCATCTTGTGAGGGTGTGATGGTCAATTAGCATACTCCCTCTTTACTATATAGGATTATTGTTATCACTTAAGTGGTAACATATTATTTAACAGCTATTTTAAAGTAATTATATCATAAGATAGGTCATAACATTAGAAATACTATGTGCATTATAATTTAACAAAATAAATACAGTGAATGAACAATATGATTCTCAGATCAGTGAACGTAAAAAAAATTTAAGAAAAAAGGTAATAAAATATTCATGGTGATATCATATATGCATGAAAACAGATTATATATTTTTTCTTTTTTAGTTTTTTCTCATTTAAAATTTTTCAATTTTTTATTTATGAAATTGAATGTGTACTTAAATTATGAGGAAAATACTAATCACGCATTTAAAAATAGAGTATAAATTAGAAAGTCATTTGAGACTAAAAGCATACATACCTTATTTGTACCACAAACAGTTCCATCTTTTACCCACATCTTATTGCTCTCAGCATGATCATATTTATATTCCAATGCGACACAGATATTTCCATTTACATTAGTATAAATAATGATGGCGCTGCTACTTTCAAGTATATTTTCACCGTCATGTTTACATATTAATTTTCCACACATCACATCACTATAATTTACAAATAAATGAAAATCATTAGTTTTAAATACAAATAAATATTAGAATATCATTTCTAAAGCAAAAAGATATAAATAAAACACTGAAGTTCTGAAAAAATTATATGCAATGAATTATGAAACACAAAAAAAATGAGGGTCTTACCTGCATTGATAATAATGGAACATTTTAGTAATGATGAGCTACTTCCTAGATAACCTGATATTTTTGTAATGATTCTTTTACTTTTTTGATTCTTAGATATAATCAATTTCCAGTTTATTCTATACTAAAAAATTAACAAAGTTTATCCTTTTCAGTTTTTAAACATAATACCTACTTCTCACCATTATGGGTAAAGACTTTGAAATATTTTACTTAATACATATTTTACTAAAATACATCATAATGATAGCACTATGAAGCACAAAAATTATGAAAGTAACCAGAAAATGAGAAAAAGCATTAATAATCTCCAAAATTAATAGGGGACTCATATAACTTAACAAAAGGAAAATACACAATCCAAAAAAAAAATAGGAAAAGGAACTAAATAGACACTTTTCGAAAGAGGACATACAGAAGGCCAAGAGACATATAAAAACATTCTCAGAGTCACTAATGATCCCAGAGATGCAAATTAAAATGACAATGAGGTACCATCTCACACCTGTCAGAATGGCTATCATCAACAAATCAACAAATGACAAGTGTTGGCAAGAATGTGGAAAAAGGGGAACCCTCATGCATTGCTGATGGGAATGCAGACTGGTGCAGCCACTGTGGAAAACAGTATGGCATTTCCTCAAAAAATTAAAAATAGTAATCCCATTTGACCCAGTAATCCCACTTCTAGAAATATAACCCAAGAAATCAGAAACACCAATCACAAATAATATATGTACCCCTATGTTCATAGCAGCACAATTCATAATAACTAAGATTTGGAAACAGCCTAAGGGCCCATCAGCAGATGAGTAGTTTAGAAAATTGTGGTACATCTGCACAATGGAATTCTACACTGCTATATAAAAGAAAGAACTCTTACCATTTGCAACAGCATGGATGGACACGAAGAGAATTATACTAAGTGAAATAAGTCAGTCAGAGAAAGATATCACATGATCTCATCATTTGTGGAATATAATGAACAACATAAACTGATGAACAAAAATGGATCCAGAGACGGAGAAGCACCAAACAGACTGTCAAACCTCAGAGGGAAGGCAGGGGAGGGGAGGGGAGTCGGGGCTTAAGAGATCAACCAAAGGACTTGTATGCATGCTTATAAGCATAACCAATGGACACAGACAGTAAGGTGGTGAGGGTATGTGCTGGCAGGTGGGAGTGGCCAGGGAGAGGTCAATGGGGAAAAGGAGATATATGTAATATTTTAAACAATAAAAAATTTAAATTAAAAAAGGGCAATTCCACCTTCGGCCTTGGCTTTTGTTGTTGCTGGAGCACTGTCGCCCAAATCTGCTTTACTGCTGAGCTGTGGTGACTGCAGATGCCCTTTGAGCCCCAGCACTGCCTGCCCCAGGTGCAGCCAGCCAGGGAGGGACTGTGGGAGGTTGGCTCCAGGGCCTGTCTGGCTAGTCTCACCCAGTCCCGCCCCACCAGCCATCTTCTAAATAATTTCCTTTCAATGTGCACAAATCCGTGCATTGGGCCACTAGTTTTATATAATGAAAAACAAGAATAAACTGTTTACATTTAAACTCCTAAATATTTTTTATCTAAACTCCTAAATATTTTTTATCTAAACTCCTAAATATTTGCTAAGCTAAATTTAACATCTATTTACCTTTTAATTGAGTACTTTCAAAAGTAAGAGTTCAAGGGTCAAAGTGACATTAATAAACAAAGTAAACAAATTATATACTGTGGGGCTATCACTATGTCCATTATTTAAAGTATATGCAGTATTTTAACAAAATGGATATCCTCAAAATCATGTCTAATGGATTATTGTCCATATCTGTTTGTGGCACATGTTATACAATAACATTTCTATTTGGTCCATGAATTCTGTTTGAGGTCATAAGTCAACCACACATCCATTGCTACTTCAGAGGAGTCAACAAATTCTCCTGCACTAGAGAGACTAATCCCAGCCCAACTACATACCATATTCTCTAAATAACCTTCTACTCAGCATAAAATCTTAGCAATATTGAAAATATAGATATGTTATAGAACAATTTTAGGGGTGGGAGGATCAATTTTCTATTTCTGATTTTTTGCCTTTTTTGCAAAAGAGGAAAATTTAAGAGAGAAAACTAGCCTCTGGCATTCAGTGAAGGTCTGATATTACAGCAAGGCCTTGAAGTTGATACAAGCTAAGTTGCCCTCATTGCTAGACCATGGTATTTACCTGTTAAATACAGGCCAGTATAAGAATATCAACTTTAGGTAAAGCCATTCAGTGACTATGCAGATCAAGAAAAAAAAAAAGTCCACAGCATAAATCATCTCTGAACATAGGAAGACAAGAAATAAACATTGTCCAAGCAACAAAATTACCAAACATCCCTCTCATCCAGCCAATATGAGTTACTGTTGTTTTATTACCAACTAGAGGCCCAGTGCACGGATCTGTACACCAGTGGGGTACCTCGGCCTGGCCTGCAGGGATCGGGCCAAAACCAGCTCTCCAACATTTCCCAAGGGGTCCCAGATTGCGAGAGGGTGGTTCTCGGGTGACACACCCTGGAATCTGGCTCCATCCTCTCTGGTTTCAGGTGCATCACCCAAGAACCTCCGCTGCCAAGTCACCGCAGCTCAGCAGCTCCAGTGTTGAGCGTATGCCCCCTGGTGGTCATTGCACATCCTAGCTACCAGTCGGACGGTCAGATGGTTGCTTAGGCTTTTATACATATAGAGTACAGCTTTAGCTTCACTCTCTAGTTTTCCTTCTTCACATATGATTTATTAATATATCCGATCACAGAATTACTTTCACTTCCTGAAAACATCCAATTCAGAGCAATGATCCACTTCCTGAAACCCTACTGAAAATCACTTTAACACAAGCGCAGGTCCTATAATTAGTCTCTAAAACCCTGGAGCTAAGATGTTTCACAGTTTCCCATAGTGTAAAGTCTCACTGACTAGAAGCTGTAAGAAACCAAACTTGTTCAATTGCAGGTGGGTTCCTTGTGGTTTTTAGCTGGAAGGTATTCACACAGAACTTGACTTAAGAATCATTTATACAGTTAAGAAGTAGGTTGAAGTTGGTTGGAGTTAGAGTAGAATTCTAATCTAACACACACACACACACACACACACACACACTGAAAGCTTTGAAATGTAAACAGAGAGGGAAGAATTGAATGATAATTGAGCCATAAGAATGGAAATTCCATATGAGGCATTTTGGACTGTGGCTTTAAAAATAATCCATGAGAACATTTTAAATATCCTTAGCTTGAAAAATCAAAAGGCAGAATTAGAATATGAGCCTAATATCAATTTGGTGACTGAAAATTAAAAGGGACTGAGCACTAAGATGTGTATATGAACTTCACCCTAAACCCTTTCTGACCACTAAACTAAGCATGTACAATGAACACTCTAGGGAATTATTAAAGTGTATCTTAAAGATAAAGAACACTATTTTCAGCTGCTGCTCATAGAGAGATACTATTTATGAGTCCAACTATGTTCAATCCCTTCCATATCAAAATTCATTAGCCTTCTGAAATGCATAAAAATAACACAAAATTTCCATTGTATATTATTTATAGTATTCATTATAAAATAAAAAAGTGCTAGGCATATAAAAAATTAAAATGTGACATAGTCAGGATGCAAATAAATCACTGGATACCAATATCAAAATGACCTAGATATGGCAATTAGCAGAGAAGTACTTTGTAGCAACTACTATAAAAATTACCAGAGATTTAAAGGAAAATGTAGTCATATTAGTTAGAAGGTTTTCTTTGGTCAGTATGTGATTTAGCAATTATAAAACACACTTCGGTGTATTCTGGATTTGAGTATATGGAAAAGCAATTTGTAAATGTACTAAGATGTACTTTGTGGTGTGCATACCATATGTCAGTCCCATTTTAAGTGCTGCTTTTCCTAGACTACTGAAACTCCCCACTGGCATCAGACCAATGATGTTAGTGAAATTAATATTTATATTTTATATATGTGAAACATATGTCCAAGGTCATTCAAGTAGATAAATGGTATGGTTAGCATTTGAAACCATGGTGTCTAGCTGTACAGCACATGTTCTTGAGCACATGTTCTTAAACACAGTGCTTTACTACTTCCTGGGTAGTAAAAATGCACGCGTTGTTTTCGTTTCATTACTATAAGAATGGTCATCCTTTGTAAAATTAAAGTGACAGCATGAAAAATAAAAAATAATCAGTCACTCTAACTGATGGATAATTAATTAATCTATGTAAATTAAACAGTGTATCGGAAGATACAAAGGGTAATTTGGATATATGAGAAACAGAAGCACAGACATTCTGTATTTCAAATAAGTCTAATTTGATTAAATGAAGTCTTTGTGGCCAGGTGAAATTTTTATTACACATAACCTTATGTGGTGGTATTTTCAAATTTAAGGCAAAAATAAAGTTTCTTAAGTTTTGTAAAGCATACTCAGGATCACACTTCTTGTATCCTGAAGCATCTGCACCACAGCTGCCAGATCTATCAGTCATAGAATTAAGGTATTTAAAACACTCTGGAGGAGCTGCACCTAAAGCTGAAAAAGAAAAGTATGGTTAGTCACATTGAACTTATATTAATTTTAAAATAATTAACAAATGAATTTGGCATTTTAAAATAGTTTACAATATATATTGCACAAAATAATGTTATACTATAAATTGAAAATAAAAACTAGGTTTAAGATCACACAAAACCACTTCAATGAAATATTTAGAAGTTAAAATATTCTTCCTATCCAAATACCTTAGCTATAAACATTGCATTCAGTTTATTTTTAAATTGTTAGTAAGTTTAGAAACACATGTCTGTAAGAAATTTAAAGAATATCTTATTAGTCAATAATTTGTGTTTGCATAAATATCTTTTCAAGTCAAGCCAGTCAACTTACATCTTTGGTTTTTATCATAAGTACTTCAGACCAAAAAGTATTGGAGCCACCATTGATTCATCTTCACATTTGCTATCCAATCCATAGACAGAATGTATTTAATTCTCTTAAGATACAACCTACTTAAAGGGCAGTTTACTTAACATAACCCTCCATCATCAGTTCTATTCTAGGATTAAGTCAAAACTCTTTGATAGAAAGATTTAACCACTCCATTATGACACACCAAAAAAGAAGCCCCAGTAGACACATTAGGATATCTGTTGAAACTCCTAACAGCAGTAGTGAACAGAAAATAAGCAGTTGATTTTGTCCAGAGGTCATTTGCAAACCTGGCATGGGTGAGAAGTCAAAAGTGTCAGCTAAGCAAGAGAAGCAGGCAATTGCTGGTGGACACAAAATATGACAAAGTTGGAGATCTTTCATAACTATAGTGACAAAGCTAGAGTCTCAAGGGGCATTAACATATGGTTTAGTCTGCTTTCAAGGCTTGTTCCTGATTCTAAAAATGTAAAAAGCAGGGGATTAAAATATAAAGAGATGACTTCTATAAACCAGTGTAGATTCTTATGTACTTTCTGTGCTCTGGTAGCAGGGATAGGAGTTTTAGTAAATATACCACTCTTAGAAGAGAAAGACACATTTAGACTTAAAACAGGGCTTCTCAAAGGCAAAAAAAATTAAAGTTAAGAATATAAAATAAAAGAATCTTTTAAAAATAATTAAGAGAACCATGCTACATATATACTGAAACACACATCTAAAGGCTTACTATAATCCTTTAGAAACCTCAGAGGACGGGTGCACTCTGCCCAGCTCCAAAGTACCCAGTATTTTCCAGAGGGGAGCTTTTACACAGGTCTAGCGCCTCTTGGCTCTTCCTGGAGCTTTGGTCTGAGGTAAAGGCATTTGGTTTGGCATACATCTAGGGATTTACTGATGTTCTCTGAGGGGATGGAGGATAGTGGACATCATCTTTGCACTTTCCATCTGCTTTGTTTCAGCTCTCCAGTATCTCTCATAAAACAAACATTTTGCCCTCAGAATTACATAAGCCAATTCCTTAATTTTGATAGGTAGATGGATTGCAGTTATACATATAGAAAAAATAATTTAATTTTTTCAGATTTTGTTTCTCTTGTGGAATCCTGGGTAAAACAGTTTATAGGATAAAGGGAACTGTGACGTTTTAGTTTGGAAATATTCTTATATCTCCTCTATGGTAGCCCAACGCCAACAGCATTTCAGTTAATGAAATGGCCTGACCTATTTTGAACTTTTGTAAAAGTGCCATACTTAGAGTACATGGTTGATGTCTGCCAACTTTTCAATAATGAATAGAACAAATAAACAGAAGATCAGCAAGAAAATACAAAATTAGAGCAATACTATCAATAAACTAGACATAACAGATATCTATCCAACAACAGCAGAATGCCTATTCTTCTCCATGCATTTGGATATTCTTCAAGATAGACCATACATACAACTAAAAAGGCTTGAAATTGTACATATTATGTCCTCTGAATATAATGAAATTGAATTTAAAAATCAATAACAATAGTACATAAGAAAAATGCAATAATGTGGAAATTAAACACACCTAAATAAAAGAAATAAAAATGAAACCTTATGGGAAATTTGAAAATACTTTGAGTTAAATGGAAATAAAAGCATGGCATACAAAAATGTATAAGAACCATTGAAAACAGTGCTTAGAAATTTATAGCTGCAAATAACTAAATTAGGAAAGAAAAATAATTTAAAATCAATAATCTAGCATTCCATTTTAAGATACTGAAAAAAATCTAAACATAAAGCAAACAGAAGGAACGAAATAATAAATATTATAGCAGAAATAATAAAACAGAGAATAGACAAATGATAGAGAAAATCAATAAAACAATTTGTTTATTTGAAAAGATCGACCACATTGATAAATTTTAATTATTAACAGAAAATTTCTCACAAAAAATGTCTGAGTGCAAATATCTTCACTAGTGAATTCCATAAAAATTTCAAACAACTAATACAGTGCATCACAGATGCTTCCAAAAAATATGAATAGGAAATACTTCAATGAATTATTCAATGAGACTTGATAGTAAAACAACCCAAAGACATTTCAAGAAAGAAAAATTTGAGAATATTCCTCATGAATGTAAACATAAAAATCCTCAAGAAATCTATAGATTAATGACCACCATGAATATGAATTTTTAAAAAGACAACAAAATACTTATAAACTGAATTATAGAGCATATTAAGAGCACTCTAAATACCAAGTAGGATTTATTTCTGAAATGCAAGGATGGTTCAAAATACAAAAATAAATCAGTCAATTAGTCATATACCAAAATAGAAGAATGAAAGAGAAAAAACCCCACCACATAATCATGTTAATTGATGCAAAAAAAGCATTTGACAAAATTCAACACCCTTTAATTACAAAAAAACACTCAACTAACTGGAAGTAGAAGGAAAGTACTTAATATAATGAAGGCCATTTATTAAAAAAAAACCACCATACAGTTGAAATAATACTTAATGGTGAATGACTGAAAGCTTTTCCTCTATGATAAGGGATAAGACAAGGATTTAAGTTTTCATCCTTCTATTCATCACAGTAATAGAAGGCCTGATTGTTAGAGCAATGGGCAACTAAAAGAAACAATATACATCTAAATTGGAATAAAATAAGTAAAAGTATGTGTTCATAAATGTGATAATTATATATTATCAGAGCTGAGTAGTATTCCATTGTGTAAACAGACCACAGCCTTTTCATCCACTCATCTATGGAAGTGCACTTAGGCTATTTTCAGATCTTGGCTATTGTAAATACCAATACAATGAAAACAGGGGTTCATATAGTCTTTTGAATTAGTGCTTCGGGTTTCTTAAGGTATGTTTTCAGAAGTGAGATCACTGGGTCAAAAAGCAGTTCCTTTTTAAAAATTTTTTGAAGAAACTCCATACTTTTTTCCACAATGGCTTCATCAGTTTGCATTCTCATCAATAGTGCACAAGGGTTCCCTTTTCTCCACATCCTCTAAAGTTACACACAGACAAACACACACACACCTGTTAGAATTAATAACTTCAGCTCAGTTTTAAGATACAAAATTAACACATAAATATCAGTTGCACTTCACTTCTATATATTAGCAATGAAAAATCCTAAAAGGAAATTAAATAATTCCAATTTTCATAATATCAAAAGGAAAAAATTAAGATTAAAACTGTATGGGAGAATATATTTGGCAATAATACATCTGACAAAGGGGTAATATCCAAAGTATATAAGGAACTCATACAACTTAACAAAAGGAAGATAAACAATTCAATTAAAAAACGGGCAAAGGACCTAAATAGACACTTCTCCAAAGAGGACATATAGATGGCCAAGAGAAATATGAAAAAAATGTTTAAGATCACTAATCATCAGAAAGATGCAAATTAAAGTCACCTCATGCCTGTCAGAATGGCTATCTTTAATAAATCATTAAACAAAAAGTGTTGGGGAGGATGTGGAGAAAAGGGAACCCTTGTGCCTACTGATGAGAATGCAAACTGATGAAGCCATTGTGGAAAAAAGTATGGAGTTTCTTCAAAAAATTTTTAAAAAGGAACTGCTTTTTGACCCAGTGATCTCACTTCTGAAAACATACCTTAAGAAACCCGAAGCACTAATTCAAAAGACTATATGAACCCCTGTTTTCATTGTATTGGTATTTACAATAGCCAAGATCTGAAAATAGCCTAAGTGCACTTCCGTAGATGAGTGGATGAAAAGGCTGTAGTCTGTTTACACAATGGAATATTACTCAGCTGTAAAAGAATTCAAAATAAGAATACTTACCTTTTGCAACAGCATGAATGGACCTGGAGATTATTATGCTAAGTGAAAAAAGCCAGTCAGAAAATGACAAATACCATATGATCTATTTATATGTGGAATCTAAGGAGCACAATAAATTAACAAACAAAATACAAACAGACTCATGGATACCAAGAACAGACTGACAACTGTCAGAGGGAAGGGGGGTTAGGGGACTGGATGAAAGAAGGTGAAGGGATTAAGCAAAAAAATAACAAACACATATAGTATAGGGAAGGCCTAGGAGCGGAGGGTGCAGGGTGGATGGAGTCAATGTGGAAAAAAGGGAAACAATTGCAATACTTTCAAAAATAAAGATAAATAAATATTACTATCTGGTGATGACCAGAGGGAAAGGGGTAGGTAGAAGTGGACAGAGGGAGGATAGAGATGGAAAGAGAATTTGCTGTGGACAGTGGGTGCATAATGCAGTGTGTTGAGTTGTACTCTTGAAACCTGTATAGTTTTTTTTTAAACCTGTGTAGTTTTGTGAATCAATGTCACCTTAATAAATTCAATTAAAAGTCTACTTAAAATATTTTTTTAAAAATTGTGACAATAAATGTAGTTATAATGATTTGACTTTGGTTGGTGAGCACACAATGCAATATACAAATCACATATCATGAAAATGTACACTTAAATCCTTATTAACCTGTTGTACCCTAATAAATTTCATTAAAAATAAAATAAAAATTTAAAAATGTGTTATAAATATTAAATTGTATATATGTCAAACAACATACAAACACATTCCTTCCCCTCATTCTCCTCTAGTCTTAGGCAACCATTAATCTACTTTCTGTCTTTATACATTTGCCTATATGCATATTAATAGAAATGAAATCATTTTTGTGGTCCTTTGTGACTAGCTTCTTTAGCTTGCCATATGTTTTCAAAATGTATTTACATTTAACAAATATCAGCACTTTGTTAAATTAATATTTTATTGCATAGTAATATTTTGTACTTGCTTTACTCATTCATCAGCTGACGGACATTTGGGTTATTTCTACATTTTGATTAGTATGAATAATGGTGCAATGAATATTTGTATACAAGGTTTTGTGGGAACATGTATGTTCAATTCTCTTAGGTATATACCAGAAATGAAATAGCTCTGCTTAACATTTTAAGGAAATGCCAAACTGTTTTCCAATGCTGCTACACCATTTTTCTATTCCCACCAGCAATGCATAAAAGTTCTGATTTTGCCACATTCTTACTAACACTTTCCATTGCCTGTCATTTTAAATTACAACCATCCTCAGAGGACCTGAACAGACACCTCTCCCAAGAAAATATACAAACGGCCATCAGATATGTGAAAAGATGTTCAACTTCACTAGCTAATAGGAAAATGCAAATCAAAACTACAATGAGCTATCACCTCACATCTGTTAGAATGGTTATTATCAACAAGACGGATAATGTGTTGGAGGGATTGTGGGGGAAAAAAGGAACCCTCATTCACTGCTGGCGTGGATGTAAACTGGTACAACTATTATAGAAAACAGTATGGTGGTTTCTGAAAACACTAAAAATAGAGTTACCATATGACCCAACAATCCCTCTTCTGGGTACCCACCAAAAAAATAAAAACATTCGTTCCCTAAGCTATATGCACCCCTATGTTCATTATGGCATTATTCACAGTCGCCAAGACATGGAGACATTCGAGGTGTCCTTTGATAGAGGGTTGGATAAAGAAAATGTGGTACATATGTACTATTATTACTCAGCCATAAGAAGAGACAAAATACTACTGTCATTTGTGACAACATGGATGGACCTTGAGAATGTTATGCTAAGTGCAATAAGCCCGTCAGAAAAAGCTAAGAACCATATGATTTTACTCATACGAGTGATATAAAACTGAATCTCATGGACATAAACAGCAGTGTGGTGGTTGCCAGAGGGAAGGGGATGAGGGTGAAAGGGGTCCTAATATATATTGACAGGAGGAGATTTGACTTTGGGTGCTGGTCACACAGATCAATATATAAATTTTGTAACATAGAAATCCAGAGCTGCAACCTTATAATCATATTAACTAATTTCATCCCAATAAATTTAATAAGAAATTACATTAAAAAAATCACGATTACATATCAACACCTATTTCATTTCAGTTTCCAGAAAAATGTATATACAGGAAATAAAATTATAACAAATACCTTCACCAAATGCTTCTGCACATTGTGATTCCATACTCTTACAGTGTCCCTGTACGCAGAGCCATTTTTCCTCTTCACATGGATGACCATCCTGAACATAAAAGTCCTCTTGACATTCCCCAGATGATCCATTGCAATATTCAGTGAGATCACATTCATGTATGGAACTCCTGCATGGAGTTCCTTTTGGCGAAAACTGACGGTGTGAGGTAAATTATATTGAATAGAGCAGAATGTAAACATATAGATATTATAAAGAATGATAACTTTACTTATATAGGTAATACCAAAATTTTAAGAAAACTCTTACTTGACACTTGGTACAGCATGCTCCCGTTAAACAAGCTAAACCGGCTTTTAGTGCACATGTGGTAGAGTCACAGCAATTGTCTGGGATTTGATTACACTCCTGAAAGGCAAAACAAATACTCTTAAATATCTTCCAACTTTCATTTACATTGGATATATATTTTAATGATATAAACATTATGTAATACTAATATATATTATATATATTATATATATGTCTATATCTATCTAGCTATAGACAGATGCTTCACATACATGTTGGCAAACAAAAAATAAATATTTAATCATGCTTTTTAATAGAAATTGATTAGTTATCTACAATGTGCTAGACTGTGTGTTTTTTCTATCCCTAGAGTAGGTTTGACTATATTGGTAGTAGGGTTTTCTGAAATGCTGGAGGCTACCAAAGCCAGCCTCCAGGAGCTCTCTGGCTCTTCTAGACAGAAATAGTTAAATGCAAGACATGAAATGAAAGTTACAACTTAACAATTTCATTATGATTAGTTCTTACTTATCTTTTATGAATCTGCTGTATGTTAATAAGTCAGTAACTTTTATGAGATATTCAAAATTTATTTTACTTTGAATTCTCTAAATATGAAGAATTAGAAAATGATATTTCTTAACATGACAAATTATCAACTTTATATCACTCATCCATATTTCATGATGCCTTCTGTTTTATGCTATAATTCATCTATGCCCAGTGATTCTGTTTTTTTTAACCCTTCAAACTTATTGTGACATTTATTATTTTTGTTGTTGTTGAAATTATTGTAGATGTCCCCCATTTACCTCTCCTTCTATGCCCTCCACTCAAATCCTCCCTCCCTTCCTCCTGGCCCTAACCATGTTGTTGTCTGTGTCCATGGACTATACTTACATGTTCTTTAGGGAGTTTATTACCATGATTCTGTGTTTTTATTTATTTACTAGTGGCCTGGTGCATGAAATTCATGCACATTAAAAGGGAATTAATTAGAGGAAATTTTAATATTGCTATTTGCCCTTTCTCTATAATAGAAGTGTCAGAGATGAAAGGAAATTAGTAAAATGTATATGAAAATAATATCTAAATTTATTAGTAAATAAATGACAAAATGATATAACAACAACAAAGACATGATATAAAAACAACAAAAACATGATATAAAAACAACAGTGATGCAAACAATGACTGATAGTGATTAAACTTATTCTAATATCTCCCTGTACACCACATTAAGAGTGAAAACACTTTGAGAGTGCTTGACTAATTTCCCTTGTGATGAAGTATTCACAACTTTAACTTTAACGTACACACTCTTCGAACTCGAGAGAAAGCAACATATAACTGACCATGTCCGAAAACAGGTTCAGGTAGAAATATTCTTACTTTTTCTACAGTTTGTCCTTGTGATTTATTAATAGTCATTGCAAATGCTGGCATCATGGAAAACTGTTGTCAAATTACTGTTTCAGCTTCGATAATGTTAGGTCGTAATCTTTTGATAATAAATCTAGTACCATTAAAAGACCCCATTTACTATTAAGATATATCAATAGCATGATGATTGCACCCACTTTCAATTTTAATTTATGACATGGCATTCCCAAAGGAGTACTACTTAAGAAATTCAATGGGAAAAATTTCCTTTTCAGCATCATCTATTGAGTCAATGGAATCATCACTCAAATATGTGTGAAAATCTCCCTCGAGTATATCCAAAATTTCTTCATTTAATTTTTGAACATGCTCATATTTTGGGCAAAGGATTGCACGTTTAGATATATTTGTAATATTATCTACAGGTATAGTATTTCCAAAGGTAGCTTCAATAATAGGTCCATTACAAATCATTTTTTCAGGGGATTTCAATAATATCCATTCCTAAATGAAAACTGCTATCAAGTTTGCCATCTCCAAGTTTTACTAACCATCCACTATAAGCAGAATCCTCTGATCTCATATTTGTAGTAAGAGACAACTTTCTTAAACATCCCCAAACATTACAGTACTTTAAACCCATTTGTACTATGGCCGATTGCATAGCATGCGGTACAATACTAAGACATTGTCAAAAATCACCTCCTAGAAGGAGAACTTTCCCACCAAATGCAACATTCAAATTTGTAATTTCTCTTAGTAATCTGTCTATGGTGTTTATAGCATGACTGGATGCCATGGTGCAGTCATCAATAATGAGAAGTTTGGCCTTTTTATTGGTTTTAGCAACTTCACTCTTTATATTGAGTCTAGAAATTGAAGTTTCATTTAATGGAAATGGTAATTTATATTGGGAATGAAAGGTTCTTCCACCGAGAAGTAAATTTGCAGCAATTCCTGTAGATGCTGTGGGTAAAACAGTACCACCATGACCTCTAATATAATGTATTAAAACTTTATATAGATATGTTTTTCGACTACCATCTGGACCATCCAAGAGAAAGCATTTAGGGTGTAAAGTTGTTTGATCTTTGGCTGAAGTTATAGTTTGAAAGGCTACCAACTGTTCATCATTCAGAGAATTTATCAAAACCTCTGCCTATTGTCGCTTGTATGATTCATCACATGTATTTGTATTCATTAATAAAGGATAGTATGGAAGTCTGAGATGTGAACATTTCATTCTATGCAATGTGAATGCCTCTTGAATTTTGTTAAGGGCATGCATTTCACAGTTCACACAGGCACCTTCTCTTTGGTGTAATTTCCAACAGAAATCTTCAATAAAATGAGATTTATTCTCATCCCATAATTTGTTTTCAGCAGAACAGCCAAACACACATATGTATGCAAAAGTTGCCATAGTTGTTTGGGCATAAGGTTCTTCCACCGAGAAGTAAATTTGCAGCAATTCCTGTAGATGCTGTGGGTAAAACAGTACCACCATGACCTCTAATATAATGTATTAAAACTTTATATAGATATGTTTTTCGACTACCATCTGGACCATCCAAGAGAAAGCATTTAGGGTGTAAAGTTTGATCTTCGATGGCTGAAGTTATAGTTTGAAAGGCTACCAACTGTTCATCATTCAGAGAATTTATCAAAACCTCTGCCTATTGTCGCTTGTATGATTCATCACATGTATTTGTATTCATTAATAAAGGATAGTATGGAAGTCTGAGATGTGAACATTTCATTCTATGCAATGTGAATGCCTCTTGAATTTGGTTAAGGGCATGCATTTCATAGTTCACACAGGCACCTTCTCTTTGGTGTAATTTCCAACAGAAATCTTCAATAAAATGAGATTTATTCTCATCCCATAATTTGTTTTCAGCAGAACATCCAAACACACATATGTATGCAAAAGTTGCCATAGTTGTTTGGGCATATTAAGGATGATTGCATTGTCAATCATATCTTTCCAGATAGTGTCATCAATTAATAGTCCTCAATGTTTTAGCAGCTTCATGAAATGTATCATAAATACACCTCCTAAAGTTCTCAGATCATCAAAACTTATTGCACCTTTTACATGCAGAAGCAAAAGTCTAAGGTAATATCATTCTGGTTTTCTAAAGCTCACAGTGAACAGTCTACCTAATACTGTATTCCCACCCTTTTGGTGTTTTGTCCATAAAGAATTAGTAAACACATAATGCTGTGGAATCTCCCAATAATAATAATTATGTGTGTCAGAATCTTCTCTATTCAATAAGAACAAAGCCATCGAAGTTGAGTTATGCCTTTTAGCCCTATCTAAAACTTCAACAAAATCATCAATATGAAAATACAAATTTTGTTTATTTGGCAAATGAATAGCTAATCTTGTGATTGTATGAGATTGGTCATGCATTCGCATTGCAAAAAGTCTCCAAACAGCCTCAGGAGCGCTCATATACCTGGAGTCAATGAAGTCCTGTACTTCGTCATGATTGATAAAATTTTTCTCAGAAATTTGAATATTTGCACAATCGTGCTTTTTATAGATGTATTTAAATAAATATTTGACACTTTTAATCAATTCACAGACTTTGTTTATATGATAGTTATATTTAAGGCACAAATATGGGTTTTAAGGGACATTCCAAGTGTTATTGACAACTTAATTTCCAATAGACGTGGTGCTACCAGACCTTCGTTTGTATTTGGGATATCCATCAATATTTCCAATGGTTGCATTTTGAAATTCTTTTGGATATCCCTTTGAGCATTTTCCATTTTTCCTACATTGACTCTTTGGATTTTGTATTCCACATGGTCCATGTACCATATTTGACATATTTGATTTTACAATTTGAAAAAGTTGAGGACGCTGGTCTTCATCCAGAATTTCTGCCTTAACTATACTGTCAATGTCATCATCTATTTGTAATTTGGATTCACTATCTAATATCAATATGTGAGTGCGAGGCAGTCCGTGTTTCTGAAATTCAATGACATGAATTTTAGCTATTACTTTGCCAAATAAATGGAATTTACATATGTCATTTAAAAGAGCATTCAGCTTAATATTAAAAACTCTGGTTACCAAGTCAGATCTGTTTTCAACTTTTTGCCAGTGTTGTAAATTGTTTGTAATATCTGCCCATTTGGGGTTGCATGCCATGGTTATGAATAAATTGGGCTTGCCATACTTTATTACAATTGCCATAGCATCCTGTTATTGCTGCTGCATATTTCTGGGACTATCCTCAAAAGATGATGGAAATATTATCATTTTAACAATCAGCACATTGTCATTTTCAGATCTAGATGTGAGATAATCCATCAAACCACTATATTTTTCAACTCTCAACTTAGATTGGTTTGTTTTAGTGAAATTTATCCGATTGGCCTCCATTTTTTAATATGAATCCACAATAAACTGTTGAGTTAATTTTCCTGCATTTAAAATAGGATTGAGAAGGAGAAACCAAGATGATGGCATAGGTAAACACCGGAGATTGCTGCCTCGCACAACCACTTCAAAAATACAACTAAAAGACGGAACGGACATCATCCAGAACCACAGGAAGGCTGGCTGAGTGGAAATTCTACAACTAGAAGGAAAGAGAAAAGCATACCGACACTCAGAGGAGGTGCGGTGCAGAAGTAAAATACAAAGGTGCGGAGGTGCATGCGGAGAGGTCTGGCGGCTGAGGACACAATTGTCTTTTTCAATTGGGAGGGAGTCTCAGGCTCTGAGCTCCAGTTCTGAGCTAGTCTCTGGGGACCCAGACTCATATGGGAGAAACGGGACTGTCTGGCACCGGTCGGAACTCGAGGGCAGCTTTCTCTCAGAGGCGCTCGCAGTGATTACCAGGGCCTCTGAGGTCAGGACTGAGAGCAGCAATACTGCTTGCTCCGCCCGCCCTGTTGATCCCCTGGGACCCCGCCCCGCCCAAGCCAAGCAGAAAGACTGGAATGACTGGTCACTATGACACACAGTGACCACCAGGGGGTAGACGTTCAATGCAGGAGCTGTCCTCTGGTGGTCAGTGCGCTCCCACAGGGGGAGCTCTGCTCAGCCACAAGCCAGGCAGATGGCTGCCAGTACAGTGGTGGTGGTGGGAGCCTCTCCTGCCTCCTCAGCAGTGCTAAGGATGTCTGACTGCAGCTTAGGCCTGCTCCCCGCTGGCAAGTGGACATGCCTTGAGGGCTCCCGGGCTGCCAGAGGGATGTCTGACTGCCAGCTTAGGCCCAAGCCAGCAGGTGGACATCCCCTGAGGTGTCCCAGACTGCAAGAGGGCACAGGCCAGGCTGAGGGACCACCTCCCCTGCCCTGAGTGAACAAATTTTTGTGCACCGGGCCTCTAGTATTTAATAAAGCCAAAAGATACTGCTGTTAATATTTATTTAAAAATGTCAAGGTGTTTCCATTTAGATCCAAACAAAGAAAAACAGGTGGGTGCTCTGGAATAATTTCTTAAAAACATATCACCCAACTAGTCCCTAAAAACACACTTTTTCATACTGAGGTGAGTACACATGAATGACCTTAGCTATTACAGTAGGGAGCATTGAATTCCATTCATATTTTCTTGATTCTCTCATGCCCATACTACTCAACTGTGAGTCTCACAATTTCTCTCTCCCTCGTTGCACTCCCTTTTTGTATTTTCTTACCACCTCCTTCTATACAGCAGCTTTTTGTAAGATTTCTGTGAGTATGAAAACCAGCTTTTATGGATTATGTATGGTCCAAATCTTTTTGAGTTGAATATTGACCTGGATTAAAATACTTAAAGGCAGAAATGTGTCTCCTATGTTTTCTTTCTCAAACCTTTATATCTTCCTGAATGGTGGAGGATTTTAGATTCAGAATAAATACAAGAAAAAAACACAAGAAGGGCAGTTTAACGCAGCTATAGGATTAATGATGTTGAAAATCACTTGTACAGATACTATACACACCACTAAATCTGTACCTCAATATATAAGTGCCTTCATTAGTTTATTAAAATCCCTATATGCCTTCTTAACATTTTTGCAGAAAGGTAATTGTGATAAATTATTAAAAGTAACAGTGTAACATTATAAAATTAAATATTTTTATGCAATTCTGATATGTATGCCATCAAATGAGTACCTACATCTGCAGTCCCACAGTCACATGTTTCTCCTTCTTCCACTTTTTTATCACCACAAACTGCAGCTTTATATGACGGATCTAAACGTGGATGATTTCGAAGACATTGGGATTTTGGCTTTGAAATAAAATGTGCAAAATCTTCCATGCTGCAGTTACTAAAGATCTTCACACCACTGGAATGACTAAAAATACATTAAACTTCAAATTTTTATACACGCATCGTATCAATCAACTGCCTACCCTGGGAATAAAGCTATTTAACATTCCACCACAGAAAAAATACTCAATTTTGTTAGTGTCAACTGTGCAAAAACGTACAGTAAATATTTTTAGTCGGAATAAATAATCAATAAAATTTTGTTGGATCTTATATTAGTTATTTGTGACACTGTTTTCTCTTGCAGCTCCTACCTAACAGAGTGGTCCATCTCTATTTCATTTTTGCTTCCTTTTCTTTTCATGAATTCTAAATATTGTAATACCCTTTTATTGACAAAGGAGATTGGGCTTCTCCACTTCTTTATATTTACTCATAGACAATCTTTTCAGTTCTAGGTTTTAAATAACACCAGACCTAACAACTCAGATATTTTTTTCCTAACTCCAACTAATCACCTAAACTCCAGAGTCCCATACCCAATTCTTTATTCAGTATTTACATAGAGATACCTTTTCTAAGCACACATCTAGTGTACCACTCCCTTACTATTCTTTGTTCCCTTAGTGACATTGATTTTTCTTAAAAATATTTATAAAAAATGGGAATATTAATCATTTATTGATTGGTTATCTTGTCCTGCTCATTTTTTTAACTCTAGAGAAAAGGCATTTTCTTTTTTAAAAAAAATATATTTTTATTGATTTTAGAGAGAGGAAGGCCGAGGATAGAGAGGTAGAAACCTCTATGAGAGAGAAACATAATCAATAGGCTGCTTCCTGCATGCCCCATACTGGGGATCCAGTCCGCAACCTGGACTTGTGCCCTAACCAGAAATCAAACCATGACCTGGTTCATGGGCTGATGCTCAACTACTCAGTTATGCTGGCCGGGCGGGAGAATGCATTTTTGATTTTTTTGTTTACTAGCACAAAGCTAAGAGCTCAATAGTCACTAAAATAAATGAATGAATGAATGAATGAATGAATGAGTACATGGTTAAAACTGTTGTATAGTAGATTTTTGGTTGCTGTTTCACTATAATTTTAATTATTCTGAAAATATTAACAAGTAAAGAGATTATAATCATCGAGGTCTGTAATTTGATGACAGATATAGATAATATGAAGTTATTGGTTTTTAAAGCTATAGACTCAAACCCTAGTCATTCAGATTATTTCAGGATCATGTTATTTCCATAAGGATGTCAAATTAGAGAGTTTTGAACAAATTACCAGTTTTGATATTTTTTGTTATTGTCACATCCTGGTTGAACATACCCTTCAGTTATATTAACCATAATGAATGAAGTTATTACATTGCCAACAATTCAGATGAATTTTATCTGAGTACCAGAAACTAAAAGGAGAGAAAGAAATAGAAATTTAATATTACTGAGAACCGGGCAAGGCAAGGTGTGTTTGCTATGTGTGAACTGGTCCATAGGGTATATATTTTTTGATGATTTAATTTTTCATTAGAAAGAAAATATCAATAATAATTATATCGAATTGGAGAATTTTTCAGCTTGAATCTTTGAACAGATTTTCTGGATATTCTTATTCCCCATTCTCTCATATTTTCTTGATAACAGAACCTCTGATATTCAGTTCAGTACATAATTCCCTTGCATGAATGACTACATCTTTTAGCTTCTTGCAAAGTTAGGAATGGGCTGATTAAAGGTTAAGTAACTGGTTTAAAATGAAGTTATAATTCTAAATTCTAGGAAGTAATGATGACAACCATGCTTCTAAGTGACCCTTTATTCTATTGGTCACTATAAACTTGGTTAACTTAATGTTGTAATTAAAGCTTCCATCATGAGTGATGGCATTATCTTGGAAATGAAAGCCACTATGCAGAAATCAATGTGAAATGTCACACATTTAAGCATGTTTTTATTCCAATTAACATAGTGAGAGGACATGTTCTTAAAACAAGACAGCTTTTTTCTTTCTCTAGCAGCCAGTTTTAGGGCACCCCCATTTGACCGTTGGTGTGAAGTGACTGAGAAATATTGATGCAATAGATGGACATGCCATGGGGATTTATCTAGAATCCCTGTTTGTGTTATTGACTTGCACTATCTGGATTTTTTTTAGCTTGTTCCAAAATAGACTCTTTTGGTCATCAGGTAGATTAATATGCCCACTTGATATTATAATTCTGTGGATCTGAATATACACAAATTATGATGAAAATATTCAACTTCAGTAACATAGTAACTTAGTGTTTCCTACATGCATGCTAATCTCTACAAGGGGCCAGTGGCCAGGAGCTGAAACAGTACTCTGGGGGTCTGCACTACAAATATTTAATACTTGTCAGAGATTCCACATAAAACCTAGTCTACCAGGAATATCTTTAGTTTTTATTGTACCTTAATGGACATACATACCAAAGAACAAGACAATGCCCTGTCTGTACATCATCTCCTGCCAAAAGTATCCTTGTTGCCGTAAGATCACTTACTAATCCAGTTCAAAAATCATTTCATAATAGTTTACTATAGCCACTTCTGGGATAACTATTTTTATATGGGTTCCTCCCAAATCAGAGCCTGAGATAAAAAGTTCAATGCAAGTACCTCTAGGAAATGATTGTGGAAGCAGGAGTGAGGAAATAGAGAAAGTGAGATGTTACCAAGTTTGTTGCTGAAAGACATCTAAAAAGCAGAAAATGCCTCCAAAATTGTCCATCAGAAAAATAAGAGGCTGGCTCTAGTCACTGACTGAATAATGGAGTCCCTAATCCCTGACTGTTTGGTTCTAATTTTATAAAATCTCAGAGTATACTTTAAGAATAATGATGGTAATAGCAAATTCTCTATGTTTTAAGGCATAAAAATGGTACTGCAAAAGGCCTCCTTTGATAACAAAGAAAAAGCTGAATAACAGCATCTATGAAATCAATAGATGCCAAGACTTCAGTCTGAGCCAGGGCAGAATGAAGGAGATTTATGCAGACAAGACCATATTAATCAATCATTCTTGTACAGTGATCACAAGCCAGTATTTGGCTTATCTGCTCAGGCTTAAATGATAAAATCATGCAAGTAAACATAGTGATAAATGTAGGGGTTAGATCATATATGGCAAAGCAAGTGTGACATTAGATTGGGAAATTTTGAGATAGATATTTGGGACTTGGATTATGCATTTTGATTTGGAAGTATGGGTCACAGCTTATATTCAACCATTTTAAATTATTTCAACAGCTTAGACTTTAAATACACCAAACTTATATTCATATAAACTATAGGTGTAAGGCATATAAAAGTAAAGCATCTTACATTGCTTCTGGGTTCATTATGCAGACAGCTCCTGAACACTGGCATTTGTCAATGTCATCATAAGCTATTCCCATACTAAGGCTCAGTAATTGAGCTATAATGACTGCAAGTGATTCCAGACTTAGGGTTTTGGGGTGCTGAAAAAAACACACACAAGTGCACACTAATATTTTAGGAGATAATTCATTTACTGGGAGAATAATGTAATTATTAAAAATAGTGTCATGAGAAAATGGAATAGAGGCTTCTAATATGTAAACACAGAAGTGCCATCCATGTTGACTCAATTTGTTACAGGTACCATTATCAATATAAAAAGAATATAGTAGAAAAATATGAAGTTTTACCAAAAATTAAATATATAGTTCATTTGGTGGCACCAAAAGAAGATAAAAATTGCCCCAATAATTATATATAATAATAATTATAATTATATTTATACTAGCTAAAAAGATTTAAAGATATACAAATATACACAGTGTCAAATTATTAACAGATTGTGCCAATTTCTAATTTGATTATTTAGAGATAATATTTTACATCAATGTTTTTACATTATGTTTCATAAAAAATAATAAATTAACCCATTGAATTAATTTATATTATGGTAATAATGACTGATAATGAGAATGCTGACTTTCCTTCTGGGTTCATTATGCAGATAGCTCCTGAGCACTGGCATTTGTCAGTCATCATAAGCTATTCCCATACTAAGGCTATTTTCAAAACCCAAAATGCCTTTGTCATTTTCTTTTTGTAAATGTAAGATGCTTACATAGAACATTTTGACCATACTAGACCATAAGAAGTTTAAGAAAAATCCACACATCACACTAGGTCTTCAAATATATCTAATAACACTTTTGTGAATATACTTCAAGAGAGGTTTCCAGGAATACACTTTGGTATATTCTGTTTGCTTCTCTAAATCAACTTTCCATCATTTTCCACCTTGCTCTCTAGTCAAGATGGCACCAAAGGATAATATCAAAAGGTTCTGTTCCCCCTGCTTTACTTTGGTCTAATGGGGAGGACAGGGTAAGAAAATTTTATTAGCATCATTGTCCAGGTGCTTATGGCTGTCTGAATTATTGAGTGGAGGTCTCTACTTTCTGTGACCCCAGTAGAATGTCTCTGTCCTTTCCTTCTCGCTTGGGTAACAAATTAAATAACTTTATTACTATCCCTGAGACACTGCAAAGTCCCTACACCTTGCATACACATTGATAAATGGCCCCTTTATCAAATTACCACAGTTGAATGTACCATTCATTTTTAGATAGAGGAAGAATAAGAAGATAAAAGAGGAGGAGGAAGAAGACAAGAAAGAGAAAGGGTAGAAGCTGGGGAAGAGTGGAAGGTGAAGGGAAGAAGAGGGGGTGTATTTGATTCTATGGAAAAGAAAATGAAGGATTCTGCTAAATTTCAATAATGTAAAAACAGGATATTATAAATAATAATGTAATGAATAATAGGGTATATATTATTATTATAGTTATTTAAGATTTTTTTGTTTTGTGTTCAGGATATATAGAAAAGGTGTGGCAGCCATTCAATCAATGTAGCTTTATAATTGTTTCTCTTTCTCTATGACTCCTGTTCCTTGCTATCTTTTATAGCTCAGTAAGATGAAACAAAAACATCCAAAAAATTTCAACTTAGTCATTTGTATAAAAGTCATCCCCTACACTCCCATGTGCAATTTCTCCTTTATTCTCTATCTTCTTACTAGTTCATTTATTCTGGTCTTTCATCTTATCGTCAGACTAGAGGCCCAGTGCGTGAAATTCTTGCACAGGGGTAGTGGGTCCCTCAGCCAGGCTTGCACCCTCTCACAATCTGGGGCTTCGGGGGAATGTCTGACTGCTGGTTTAGGCCTGATCTCACAAGGAAACCAATCAGGGACTACTGGCTCCTAACTGCTTGCCTGCCTGCCTGCCTGATTGCCCCTAACCACTCTGCCTGCCTGCCTGATTGCCCCTAACTGCTCGCCTGCCTGTCTGATCGCCCCTAACCACTCACCTGCCTGCCTGATCACCCTTCACCGCCTCTGCCTGCCTGATCGCCCCTAACCACTTGCCTGCCTGCCTGCCTGCCTGCCTGATCATCCCTAGCTGCTCGCCTGCCTGTCTGATCATCCCTAACTACTCTGCGTGCCTGCCTGATCACCCCTAACTGCTCAACTGCCTGCCTGATGGTCCCTAACTGCTTCTGCCTCAGCCCCCAACACAGCAGGTTCACCAGGAAGGTCGTCTGGAAGGAAATCCGGAATGACATCCGGAAGATCATTTGACTGTCCGGTCTAATTAGCATATTACGCTTTTATTATTATAGAGTCAAATATATGGTTTGTGTTGGAGATAACATTCCTTTGTGGCAATTTGGCATAGGGTTTCTATTACTCAGATAGGGCTGTCATTACAAAATACCACAGACTGGGTTGGTTTAGATAACAGAAATTTATTTTCTCACATTTCTGGAGATTAGAAGTCCAGGTCAAGTTGCCAAAAGGGTTGCTTTCTGGTAAGGCCTCTCTCCCTAGGTTGTAGAAGGCTGTCTTTTCACAGTATCCTCACATGGCCTTCTTTAGTATATGTATAGAGATAGATATCTCTGCTGTCTTTTCCTTTTTTATAAGGACATTAGTCCCATTGGATTAGAGGCATACTCTCATAACCTCCTTTAACCTTAATTACCTCTGTAAGGCCCAGTCTCCAATATATAATCATATTGGGGATTGGGGTTTCAATAAATGAATTTTAGGAGTACACAATTTAGTCCAAAACAGACTAGTAGCAAAAACTTGAAAAGGTATAAACTGGAGTATAAGAATTTCCTATGGGATATTGTTATGATTACTTTTGTTTCTAACATAAAATAATTGAAAACTAAAATTATATTTAGCATTGGCATTTTAAAATATTTTGTATAAAAGCTATAAGTAAGCAGACAAGTTTCTTTTGTTGAATCTGCTTACTATAATAGATGTTAAATAATAGTAACAGCAGCTGGGATTTATTAAGGACTTCTTACGTGCCAATCACTAGTATTCCTATGTTGTACTACATGTGATTACTTTCTATAAATATGCTGGTCTGTTTGCTTTGTAAAAACTTCTAGTCTCTAATATTAGAAATCAGGATTCTAAATATGCCTTTTAGATAAAGTTCATTAATACTGTTCAAACATTCTAAATTTTTGGTCTGATAAATTATCCAAGTATGATTATTTCTGTTAGTAGCTCTTTCAGTGTTTACTTTGTGCATCTTAGTTTAGTATACATGAGTTCATGTTTATTATATATGCTAGTAAAATTTTATTTCTTTCTAAATAATAAATCACCTAAAAGTAATATCTGTTTTACCTGAAGAACATTTTGCTGCTTTTTACTATTGATACATCAAATTTTGTTCGGTTATATATTTGTTTCTTTTTCTTACTCTTTAGGGTTAAAATTTCTGTGGCATTATGTATGGGTGTAGAACATATGCATATACATATATGTATGTATAGAATATTTACTCAAATATATACGTTCTTATATATAATTTATGTATAATATTATATGTATGTACATATATACACACATATTTGTGAAGTGTGTGACAAATATCTGCATAACTACTACACTGTACAAAATATGGGATATTTTTATCACCTAGGAAGTTCTTTCCAGCAAGTTTCCAGGCATTACCTCACCACAATTTGTAACTTCTATTCTGACTTTTAATAAAATGGTTTATCTTTAACTACACATAAAAATGGGATAATAAAGTAAATATTCTTTTGCTTCTGGTTTACTTTATTCAACAGGTTTTGAAATCCATCAATGTTGCATGTTTAATAGTAGTTTATTTTTATTGCTTACATTATGTGAATATACCACACATATTTATCCATTTCATGGATAGGAGAACTCAGTATTGTTAAAGTGTCAATGTCCCTCAAATTGGCCTAAAGATTCAGTTCAAAATTAATCAGAATCCAAGCAGTTTTCGCTGGAATTGACAAACTGATTTTAAAATGGAAATGCGGGGAATTCAGAATACCTAAATCAGTCTAAAGTAGTAGTAGCAGGGTTTACACTACCGTGTTTGATGACTTACTATGAAGCTAATAAGACAATGTGTTGTTGGCTTAAGGACAGAAAAACAACCCACCAACAATGATAAAAGAGTCCAAAAAGAGACTAGAAATAAAAAAAGAATACTAGAAAGCTCTTCTCTGAATGCTCCTCTTACTATAGAGACCACTGCCCTCTGCTCATGAAACACACACTTTCCAATAAATGATGGCATTATTTTACTCTAAATATATGGGGGCTAAACCTACCTTTAACAGAGGTTCTCAACCTTGGCTGCACATTAGAATCACCTGGGAATCTTTTCAAAATCCTGATTTCTGGGCCTCATCCTCCCGAAATTCTGTTTCTTTGTTACTAATGTTGTGGCCCTACCCCATAACAGAATTTCTGGAGGATGAGGCCCAGAAATCAGGATTTTAAAAAGATTCCCAGGTGATTCTAATGTGCAGCCAAGGTTGAGAACCACTGCTTTAGAGAGAATGAGTTCTGTTCTGACTTTGTTATCAATGAAGGCCTTATTTCACATGTGAGTCTTATATTTCAGTGTTGTGACTGCATAAATCAGCCAAATTCCAGTTTTTGAGACTAGGTAATGGCTTGCTAATAAACATAAGTCACATTTTCCAAACTATCATATGTAAATTTTAAGGTTGATATTTGTGTCTCCATTTGATTGATTCATCTTTTTATATCTTTACTTAGCTTCCCTTGTTCACTGAAATAAGAGTGTTATGCATTGCATCCCTCAAATTCTAGTAGACATTGTATAAACACACACAAAATAAGAAAGTAAATTCCACATGTCAAAATAATCATGGCATTATGAAAGAGGAGCAAAACTATACTAATTTTAAATATACCAAGATTTTCTACTAAAATAAATAATACCAATTAGGGCATTTGATTCTGTTATCCTTCACCTGGGCCCCATAGAGCATTTTAAGGAAATTTATAATTCTCAAAGTTTTATTTTAACCCAGCTTATAATTATGTTTACTACATAATTAAGAAAAATGATCAAAATCTAATCTTGAAATCAAAAGCAATTACTTATTAAATATTGAGCACATGCAAATTTATGAAAAATTTCTAAGCCTAAAATAGACCACTATATTAATTTTCTAAAAAGGATATTTTGAACTCATGAGATGAAATGCCAAAAATTGTATGTGTATGAAGTTCAGTGAGTACTTGCTATAGTTCAAACATTTCTCTCAGCAGCAGGGAAAAAGGTTAATATGTTCATTATGCAAATATTAAATACCTAGAAAAATGAATAAAAAATATTGAACTATATATAATCTAAACAGCATTTCATTTATATATCTTAGCCAAGATTATACCAACCACAGCAATGCCTCCTCCATATTGTCTATCACACATCTTTCCTTGAAAGGTTGCACCAACATAATCTGATTTTTCTCTGTAACTTAAATTAAAAAAACACACACAACACAATCACATAAATTTGTAAAACTAAACACAATTAATATTGTATTTGCCAAATATAAATATATATTTAAATATTTATATAATATATTCATAGATAGTTCCATGTAACATTAAAGTAACAAAGCATAGGAAGTGACTGTGAATGCTTCTTTTGAAAACAATAAGATAGATTTTAAAACAAATATTATAAAGTCTATTATCAGATGGATTTTTTTAACATGAAGATTCAGTTTTATGTAGTATTCACTAAAAATTAAAATATTCCTAAAAGATCAAAATAAGATAATTAAGTAAAATTTCTTAAAATTAAGAAAATAAGGCAATGTAGTTGATAAATAAAAAAGAGTTACCTTATAGAGTCCTGCAAAGTTATGGCATACTTGAGGGGCAGAAAGTAACATAAAGATTATGATTTTAAAATATATAGGGGCCCTGGCCAGTTTGTCTCAGTGGATAGAGCGTCGACCTGCGGACTCCTCAGTAGCAGCAGCAATAACTTTTATGCTTTGGGATCAACAGTTAATTGGGGGAAATCGGGCTCTCACGGGTGCCAATGGCAAGGCCATTGGGCGCAGTGGGTAAGATGGGCTGAGTTTAGGGAAATCATTCAACACTCCTACATGAAAAACGTGGCTTCCACAACTTCAGTTCCATAAATAGAGGGTGTCCCCAAAAATGTACACACGTACTTTGCTTAATTATAAAGGCAGTGTTTCTTAAAATACATTTCATTGTAAAAATTAAGCTATCAGTTTGTATACATTTTTGGGAGGGTCCCCTGTATGTATTATCTTATTTAATATAAATATATATATAGATTCTGGACATTAATAAAAACAATAAGCTTATTAAATAGAGAGTTTTATACTTTTTAAAAGGAAGCATAGTGTGAATATGGTATATTAGAGATGTTTAAATATACAATTGTGCTTCCATTTCCTTGTTATTTATTATTTCATTTTATGGAAATAAAGCATAAAAAGAAGCCCAAGTTACTATATTCTTAGAATTCAGGTACATTTCTTCAGATAAATATTATTAGTATTTTATGTATAGTTAGGGACTTTATACAATAAGGTAAGAAGGCAAGAAGGCATATGGTAACAAGTTTGAAGGAGTAAATTTTAAATACAAACAAATAAATACAGTGATATCAATAATTTTATAAAACCCATGTTTTGAAAAATAATATTCAGATGATGTTGTTTATAAGAAAAATGGCACAAGATGTCTTTCTCTAAAGACCTTTGAACTGTCAGAAATTAGGTCAAATATGTTTTCTTTATATAAGATTTAGTAATGCCAAGATATGCTTACACAAGTAAAAATGCCATATCATGTGGACGCAAAACAAGATAAGACCTTTTCCATTTTAAAAATTTGTGTAATAATTCATTAACATCTCCTGTTACTGGCATTTTATTTTCATCTATCCAAAGCTCCAGTGAAGACAGAATTATTGTAATATTAAATGAAGTAAAAATCTAAAATAGAACACATAAAGAAAATATATTCAAATATCATGGTCTAAATAGATTTGGAAATTAGGTGTGAAAATAAACACTATCCTGATGACAAATATTAAACAACTGAACTATAAATCTGTTTTGAATCTTATAATATAAAAAATACATACTACTAATGAAATAAGTTGTAATTAATGTTTGAAAAGCCTGTCCTTAAGCAAGCCCTACCTCAAGTGCTATATTTAATTTAATCTTTACAATAACCTAACTAGGTATCTACAATAATTATTATTTCTATGAAATAGTTAGAAAACAAATTTAAAATGGTTATATACTTTTCCCTATTCACACAAGATATGTATTCAGGCAGTGTCATAAAAGAAACTATGGGAATTTTTTAAGTATCACAAGCAAATGCAAAAGTTCTAAAAAGCAAACACTTACAGCATTAGTCAGTCCAATTAATTGGAAAATTTTTTGAGTGACAATAGCCGTATCAGAACCCATATGAGTATACTGAAAAAGATAATGATACATTTTAAATCTAAATATATATATTGCTTAATATTTAATTATTGTTGTGTTGTTTAAATTTTAATATAGTGAGTTTGAAATGTTTTAACTAATTATGTTTTAAAGTATAAATTACTATAGAAATAATATGAGATTTATTCAGTGTGAGGAATAGGATATATTAAAAAATAAAAAAAAAAACACCTTACAAACTCCCAAAAATAGAAGAGAGGGACACTTCCAAAGTCATTTTACAAGGCCAGTGTTACCCTGACACAAAACCAGACAAGAACACTACAAAAAGAGAAGATTACAGGTCAACATCTCTGATGAACATAGATTCAAAAATCCTTAATAAAATGTTGGTACACTGAGAGGAACAGCACATCCCAAGAAACTAGAAACACCAATCAGGAAGGATATATGCACTCCTATGTTCATAGTGGCACAATTCACCATAGCTAAGATTTGGAAGCTGAGTGGATTAAAAAACTATGGTACATCTACACAATGGAATACTATGCTGCAGTAAAAAGATGGAATTCTTGCCATTTGCAACAGGATGGATACAACTGGAGAGCATTATGCTAAGCGAAATAAGCCAGTCAGAGAAAGATAAATATCACATGATCTCACTCATTTATGAAAAATAATGAACAACATAAATTGATAAACAAAAACAGACCCAGAGACAGAAGCATCTTTCAGACCGTCAAACCTCAGAGGGAAGGTAGGGGAGAGGGGGGGTAAGGGGAAGAGATCAACCAAAGGACGTGTATGCATGCATATAAGCCTAACCAATGGACACAGACACCAGGGGGGTGAGGTCATGAGTGGGGGGGTTGGGGGGCAATGGGGAGATAAGGACACATATGTAATACCTTAATCAATAAAATAAAATAAAATATAAAATAAAAATAAAATAAAAGGATCTTACACCAGGTACAAGTGGGATTTATTCTATGGTTGCAAAAATGGTTCAACATTCACAAACCAGTTAATGTGATAGAACACCAAATAAAGGGAAATGTCACATAATTATCTCAATTGATGCATTTTACAAAATTCAACATCTTTTCAAAATAAAAACTCAACAAAATATGTATAAAAGGAACATGCCTCAACATAATAAAAACCATATGTAACAGGCCCATGGCCAAGATCATAATCAATGGTGAAAAGTTGAAAACTTTCCCCATATAATCAGGAACAATACAAGAATACCCAGTCTCACCACCTTTATATAATATAGATTGAAATCTTAGCCAGAGAAAGTAGGAAGAAAAGTAAATAAAATACATCCAAATGGGAAAGGAAGAAGTAAAACTGTCACTATTTGCAGATACCATGTTATAGAAAGCCCCAAACTCATCATAAAAAACCGGTTAGAACTAGTAAACAAGGACAGTAACATTGCAGAATAAAAAAAAAATATACAAAACTATGTTTTATATACTAATAGAAACTATCAGAAAGGGAAATTAAGAAAATAATCCCATTTACAATTACATCAAAAAGAATAAAACACATAGGAATACATTTAAGCATAGAGGTGAAGGATTTTACACTGAAAACTATAAGAATTAAAAAACACACAAATGAATACAAATATATTTAATGCTCAAGAGTTAATATTGTTAAAATGTTTCTACTTCACAGAACAATCTACAGATTTGATGCAATCCCTATCAAAATTTCAATGTTAATTAAGAGTCATAGAACATTTAGGATTGGGTGAAGATGATTTGAGAGATTTATAAGTAAAAACTTCAAAGTGTTTGATGTTACTTATATGTAATTTTTTTTAAGAAATTGAAAATCCCAATATGATAAAATTGTATACTCACTGACTAGAAAAAGTAAAAAGAAATATAAAACCAATGGTTAGCAGGTATGAGGAAAATAGCATTTTCATTTTTAATTTAGAGAGTTAAAAAGTTATAACCTTTTCATAAATCTATAAACAGAATAGAAAGTCTACAAAGGTGTGTCACTTTATTAAACACTGAACTTGGATATCTAATAATATACTCTGCTTTCCTTGATGTTATTATGGATGAATTTACATGGTTATGTGTCAATTACATATCAATTAGAGGCCTGATGCACAAAATTTGTGCAAGGGCCGTGGCCCCGGCCCCCGTCTGCCGCTGCTGTGCCCGTAAGTAGGGGAGTGGGGGGAACGAGGCCTCTGCTACCTCTGCCACGGTCCAGCCTGCTGTGGCTTTGTCTGGAAGGAAGGACATCAGGTCTAATTAGCATATTACGCTTTTATTATTATAGATAAATCTGAAGAAAGTAGAAAAAATATAAAATTATAAAAATAACTAAATGGACACTCTTGAGTTGAAAAATACAATAGCTAAAATAAAAACTTCATAAAAGGGGTGTTCACCAGCAGAAAAAAGAGTAATTGAACATGATGGTATATCAACAGAAATTATCCAACATAAAAAAAACAAAAAGAAAAAAAAAAGTAAACTGAACAGAATCATGGACATTAATTTGACATCATTATGTAAGCCTGAATTTATATAATAGGAGCCTTAGAAGGGCACAGAGATTGAAAAAGGCAAAAAACAAAAGAAAGTGGACTAGCTAGTTTGGCTCAGTGGATAGAGTGTTGGCCTGTGGACTGAAGGGGTCCTGGATTCTATTCTGATCAAGGGCACATACCACAGTTGGGCTGCAAGCTGCTCCAGGCCCCTGACTGGGTTGGGTGCAGGAGGCAACCAATTGATGTGTTTTTCTCACAACAATGTTTCTCTCTGTCTTTCCCTCTCTCTTCCTCTCTCTCTAAAAATCAATGGAAATATATCCTCGTTGAAGATTAAAAATAATAATAATTTTTAAAAAGAGCAAGCAGTTGCTTTAAAAAATAAAACAAAACAAAAACCTTTAGTAAATAATGGCCAAAACTCCACAAATTTAATGAAAATCATTAATCTACACATTATATAAGCTCAATAAACCAAATAAGATGAAATCAGACATTCACACAGACACATCATAGTTAACTAACTGGACAAAGGTCTTAATACAATAAATCTTTAAAGTGAGAAGAAAAAATAATGTATCTCACAAAGAAGAAAAATAATGCATAAACAAGATTAAGAGATGACTTCTCATCAGAATCAATGGAGAACAGGTAGAATTACAAATTTTAAGTACCAAAAGAAAACATTCTCAATCAAAAATTCTATATCCAGCAAAATTCTTCTTCAAAAGTAAAAGCAACAGAAAGGCATTCCCAAATTAAAAAAAAAAAAATCATTAATAACAGAGCTGCATTACTAGAAATAAGAAATAATAATTTAAAAAAATCCCTTGAGGTTGGAAAGAGATGACAGAAGACTATAACACTTATATACACAAAGACAGTCAAGAGCTCTGGTAATGAAAATTGCAAAGGTAAGTATAAAATACTATCTTTTCTCCTCTTAATAAAAAAAATTGCAAAAAATAATAATTTAAATTTTGACATTATTGTGAAGACATCTAGTTTAGACAGAATGGTGTAGACTGTTGTCTTCCAGTTTCTCCCAGCTGAGCAAAGCTATGAAAAACGATAAACCCTGAAATAATATACCCCCCCCCCAAATAAAGATTATGGAAGGTTTCTAAAGAGTGGAAATTAAAGGTACCTGTACAGGTATGCTAGGATCAGAGGAATAACATAGCTGCACCACATCCACTGGCAAAAAGTAGCCCAGGTAGGGATGAAGTGAGAACCCCACTAACATTCTGGTGCCTAGATCTGTGCCCTATAGCATGGAGTCTTCTCATGGCCCAACTTGAAACAACAAGTTGCCTGGACCTAGAAAGAGCCATTGCCCCTGCTGGCAGTATCAGAGTAGCTCTGATAATATAAAACAGCTCTACTCCCTGATGTCCAATGTCTCCTACTCCCACATAGAAACATTAGGCAGAATTACTCTAAAAAGGAACTTCATCTCCCACAAACAGCATTGAGAATGTAAACAGGAATCCCACTGGCACTGAGTAGGCCAGGAAAACACTTTCTACTATGCAGGCCCATCATCTACAATCCCCTACACAGAGGCAGCAGGAGAACAAGGAAGGCTACTATTCCTGCAGGCAACACAGGTAGGTAGCCATGGCATCTACAAAAGCACCAAGTGAACCAAGACTCAAAGAACATCATGAAGGCTCTGAAAACTTTTGCCATTAAATACCACCACATGACTAGGTCAATACTGATGTGCTAATAAAATTAAAACGAAAAAATTAAGTAGAATCCAGAATCTCATAACATACTCGTCAAAATGTCCAGAAAGCAGTTGAAAATCACTTGTAGCAAAAAGGAGTAAGAACTACTTGTGAAAGTGTCAGGAAGATGACAGACTGTGCCTGAGGCAAGAGATTATAGGTGAAGATATACAGCAGGCCATGAAAGGCCCTGAGGAGAAGTTTGGGTGTTTATGACTCTTTGGAAAACTGAGATATTCAAAAGCAGTTCTGTATATGATGAAATAAGAAAGCTCATCAAGACATATGCTCAGTAAAGACCTGAGAACGTCCTAAACTTCCACCTCAGCTGACCCCTAACTTGAGAGCAAGCTTAACTAATCATTAAAGGACTGCCCTGGCGCAAAACCAATCTGCAAAATCTGAAAGAGGTGTTTGTTTTTTTCAAATGCTGAATTTTCAACCCAAATCACAAGATTCCTCAGTCAGGTGTTATACTAAAAGTATCATAGACGAGGGGCTTAAACAACAAATGAATCTCTCTGTTCTGGAAGCTGTGAGTCTAAGACAGAGGCTCCAGCAGATTTGGTATCTTGTAAAAATCCTCTTCCTGGTTCATAAATGACCATCTTTCCTTCTTGGCAGAAAAGTGAAGGAACTTTCTGGAATCTCTTTTATAAGGGCCAAATCTCCTTGATAAGGGCTCCACCTCCATGATTCAAATCACTCTCAAAGGCCCCACCCTCCAAAAATCATCACATTGTATTAGGTTTTGATATGCATTTCAGAGAAACACATGCATTGTTTATATCATGAGGGAAAGGAAGAAAGAAAGAAAGAAAGAAAGAAAGAAAGAAAGAAAGAAAGAAAGAGAGAAAGAGAGAAAGAAAGAAAGCATGACCCAAAGGAACAAGATAAATTGGGAAAAACAATCCTTGAGGAAATGCAGACATACCAAAGTTTTTACAACAATTGTCAGAAGTATGCTCAAAGAGCTAAAGAAAAACACAGACTAAGGGAAATCTGGAAAATTACATAGAAACAAAATTACATCTAAACAAAAAAATATAGAAATTATAAAAAGAAACCAAATAAACTCTGGAGTTATAAAATGCAATCATTGAGGTGAAAATTCACTGGAAAGATTCAACAACAGATTTGAAGAGGCAGGACAAAGAATCAACAAACTTGAGGAGAGGATAATTGAAATTATAGAGTTTAAGGACCAGAAAGAAAAAAAAAAAAGAGGGACTTCTGAAATATCATTAAGTAGAAATAATATATAAATTATAGGAGTCCCAGAAAAAGAAGAGAGATTATTTGAAGAAACAAATAATTACTAATATAAATTGATGTAAATCAGAATATACTTACCAAATATTTTTCAACTACAACATGCATTTCTATATAACTAGAGAAATCTGTAGGTGACTGAAAAAAATCGACATGAAAGTTAAAGAATTACTTAAATATATTAGTGTTTATCACTACATCATCAATTCATTGTTGAAAAATCCAAATTTATATATATTTAAATATTACATAT